CCGAATGGAGCGGCGCCGGGGCTGAGCCGGGCGCGCACGGACCGCCGCATGTGCCAAGCGAGGAGCGGCTCCCGAGCGGGCGGAGAGCTAGTGCGAGAGGCCCCGTCGGAGCGGCCACCGGAGCAGCGCCGGAGATGGGGTGAGTGAGCCGGCGCGCGCCTCGCGCGCTCCCCCGGAAGGGCGGCGGGGCCGCGACTCGCGTCCCCGAGCTCAGAGCCCCCCGGGCGGGCTAGCCCCCGCCTCCCCGCTCCCGGAGCGAGCGCGCAGGCGGCGCCGGAGAGCCTGCGGCTGCCCGACCCGGAGCCTTCCGCCGGCGCGCGCGGGTACCCGACAGGGGCACCCTGGCCTTGGCGCGGACTTTTTGCCTCGCGCCTTTGACCCTTTTCCTCCTTTACCAGTCCCAGCGCGAGGACACCGGGGGACCGGAGCTCTGCTAGCCTCCACGCTTCTGCCATTCCATGGCCCCCTCACCCCCGGGCGCGATCAACTCCAGGGCCTGTGTTTGTGAGTGTAAGAAGCAGTTTGTCGTGTTCCACCATTGGATTTATTACAAGGAAAATGGAAATCGAAGTTTTCCTGGAAAGGGAACAAACCAAATAATAAACCTCCAGCGTAGGAATAGTGGACTTTGAATCGCTTTTGAGATGGCTGAGGATGATGGAAGTCTGTAAGGAGCGTAGGTGAGGCTAAAATCTTTGAAACAACTGAGTAGATGCTCAGGAGGGAAGTTGAAATACTCTGTCAAAGTGACTAATGCTTCTGAGTATATAAAGTAATTTTAAAAGCAGGATTAACATCCTCGGCTTCTCTCTGAGCAGCAGGCGCTGTGAGTCAGGGAGCCACAGTGCTAATAACACAATAACTGCTTGCATCTGCCCACCCGAGGTGAGCACACGTTCGAGTGCCATCTGTGTTCAGGGAATGGTCATTATGCCCATTTTGTAGATGAGGAAACTGAGGTCCGAAGTGGTTGGGTGTCCTCCTCCAGGTTGGCAGCCCATGAGCTTTTGTTGAAGGGGGCACTGACTGTGACAATGGGGATGTGGGGTAAGTGAAGCAGGATCCGTGTGTCCCCCGCTGCCAAGTCCAGCGTTCTTCAAACAGTCCTTAGGCATGACCCAAACATTCGACTTGATGTGTCCAGAGATCGTGCTTTCCTGCTTGGGAGGGTTGGGGGGTGGAAGGGAGTAACATAGAGCCCAGCCCCTTGGGGTCAGTGGCTTTATTGTACCTTATTCCAGGTAATTCTTGGAATCATTTACTCAATGGCCTTATCCATGGGGCCGCAGAATGTTTGGAGGCAGGCCAGGATGAATTTTGAGGAAGAGAACTATGAAAGCTGCAGGCCAGGGGGCGCACAGCTGGACCAGGGGATTTGCTTAAGGCATCGGTGCAGTTCCAGGAGATTCGCACATGCAGAAACTGAGGGTGGTTTTACCACAGGGACCCTGGCTGAGCACTTTTTGTGTAACATTTCCAATGAACCCTTGGTGGACTATGAAAGGGCTGCTCTTTGAGCGGTGGATAACCTTTGAGGTTCTCAGATTTCATACTTAAAAAAAAAAAGTTTACGGGAAGAAGGAGTTGGCAAATGTAGGTCTCAAGATGGAAGATAAAAGAGATCTGGTGATTTTAACCCCCTCCCCCCTTCAGCCAACGCAAAACCAGCCCAACGCACTAGCGTGATCAAAACAAATATTGAAACTCTTGACTGTGGTTGAGATCAAATTGTTCTGAGAAAATGAAAATGTTTACTCATAGAAGCTTAAAGAAAATGTCAGAAGATAATTTTTGTTTGTGGAGAAGCAGGGAGTAGTAGCTTGGGAATTTTGTTTGAACATGGAATGTGTCTTTCATGTAATTTTATCATCATCCAATAAATGTATTTACTGCTAGTAGGTTAAGGGCTGTTTAGAACTCTTACCCATCTCTGCCGTTTTTAATATATCCACTTCTATAATTTATGTAAGTGTACAAACCATGGATGTAAATTAAGATGGAGCTAAGGGCTGGGTAACCAGTTCAGACAGGAAGGTGGAGGAAGTCATTTTTTTCCTTAAATTTTATTTACTGTATTTTGTTGTTTTTGAGAATATACACAGCAGAACATAAGCCAATTCAACAGTTTCTGCAGGTAGAATTTAGTGACATTGATTACATTCTTCGAGTTGTGCAACCATTCTTACCCTCCTTTTCTGAGTTGTTCCTCCCTCATTAACATAAACTCACTCCCCCCACTTTGACCCTCATATAGATAGATCTTAAAAGAGCATAATGCTCAAGGCAGACATTCTTTACTAGTTAAGCTAAACTAGTGTTTGGTTTTAAGAAGACTTCAGGGGATATTTTTGGTTGAAAGTTTAAAGATTATCTCAGGGCAATAGTTTCAGGGGTTCATCCACCCACCATGGCTCCAGAAAGTCTGGAGTCCATGAGAATTTGACATTCTGTTCTGTATTTTTCCCTTTTTGATCAGGATTCTTCTATGGAATCTTTGCTCATAATGTTCAGTAATGGGAGGGAACAATTTTAACCAAAAATAGAACCAATGTCATACTTTCTGAGAGTTGAGTAGGATGGAGGGGGAAGAACCAAGAAAGGGCAGCCAGGAGAAAACCTCGCTCTGGTCCCATAGCTTTATCGTGGCTCCCAGGATTTAAAAAAAAAAACAAAACATCTGAGTTTGTGTTGCCCCACATAAGATGCTTTTCCTCATTCAGATGTTCACTGCTATTTCTTGCTTTTCTTCTGCGAAGTGTTCTCCGTTAAGTGTGTGGTTCCCCTAGTAAGCTTGTGTTCTCATCCCCAAGGCAACCGTTTCATACCTTCTTCCTTTCTCAGACCTTGTCCCCCTGCCACATAGAAGCACCTAGCCTCACTTTTCATTGACAAAATAGAAGTCACAGACCAAGGGAACACTTTCGTCTTCCCACAGGCCTCTCTAGCATGTGGCTGTGCCTGCGTTCTCCTGCCTGTTTTACTGGATGGCCAGTCCCTCCTCTTGTCCTATCAGAGGCCTGCTCCTCTCGGGGTAACTTCCATCCTATCCCCTCTCACCTTCCCAGGGAATATCTCCCTGCCCTTAAACCCCTCTTTCTCCAGGGCCATTCCCATCAGTATGCAAACATGCTTTAGTTCAGCACTGTCCAATAGAACTCTCTACACGGGTAGAGATGTTCTGTATCCGCACAGCCCAATCTGGCAGCCACTAGCCACATGTGACTATTAAGCACTTGAAATGTGGCTAGTGCGACTGAGCACTTGAATTTTTTATTTTGTTTAATTTAAATTTAAATAGCCACATATGGCTAGTGACTACCACATTGGACAGCACAGCTTTCTCTCATCTTAAAAAGGAGCTCTCCCATGATCCTCCATCCTTCTCTTGCTTCCATCCCTTCTTTGCTTCCCTTCACCTGAAAACATTTCAGGAGATATATCTAAACCCACTGTCTCCATTCACTTTCTTCTACCATTTGCTCACCCAGCACACTCCACAGTCTGACTTCTTCTCCCACCACTCATGGAAACTGCTCTGAACAGGGTCACCAGTGATCTGCACATTGCCAGATCTTTGCCCCCATCCGACCCACCTCTCCACTGCATTCCACACCAAACGCCACACCCTCCCCCTTGAAACAGTTCCCCACACCTCACCTGGTGTTGCCTTACCTTCCCACTGGTTGCTTTTCTGTCTCCCTTGCTGGTTGGTTCTCCTCTGCCTGACCTCTGAATGATGGGGTTGCTGAAGGATAGATCTGCTTCCTTTTCTTGGTCAACACTTTCTTCCTAGGTAGTTATCCCATCCCATACCTTTAAACACCATCTCTATTCTGGTGACTCCCAAGTTTTCATTTCCAGACTTTTTTCAGGGCTTCCAGCTCATATCTCATACATGGAGCTCTTGGTATCCCTTCCACTTTGCGCCTTCCCTCAGTCTCCCCCCTTTGCGGTTGGTGGCACCACCATCCACTCTTTTGCTAAGAGTCATTCTTGACTCCTCTTCTTCACCTCCCCCTCCCCCCACATCCAGGCTGTTGGTTGGTCCTGTGGATTCTGCTTCTGGAATTTATGTGGAATGCATTACCTCTCCTCACCATCACAGCTTCCACTCTGGTCCTGGCCACCGCTGCGCCCTTCCTGGGCTAACTTCCTGCACGTCCCCCAGCTGCCACTCTTGCTTCTCTAGTCCATTCTCCATACAGGAGCCCGAGTGACCGGCTTATTTATTTATTTTCTTCTCTTCTTAGAACAGATCTCTAGAAGTGAAGCTTCTGTTTCTCCTCCCCCCTTTTTTAAATTAATAGACTTAATTTTTGAGGGCAGTTTTAGGTTTACTAAAAAATTGAACAGAAGGTACAGAGAGTTCCCATGTAATCCTTCTCCCTCTGCACACTGTTTCTCCTCTTATTAACATCTTGTATTAGTATGGTACATTCGTTACAATTGATGAATCAATAGGGATGCATTCTTATTAACTAAAGCCCGTAGTGTGCACTAGGATTCATCCACTCTTTATGCTGTACCTTCCTATGGCTTTTTAACAAATGCAGGATGTCATGTATCCACCAACTGAGGATCATACAGAATAATTAAACACAAATCAGAGCACATCACTCTGGCCTTTGTCCCCTCTCCAATGTCTCTAGCCCCTCTCATGTCCCTCTTTGCTTTCTATGAACACTGGCCTCTTTTCCTTTTCATTCTGCCCTGCCTGGGGATCTTTACCTTGCTGTTCCCTCTGCCGGGATTGCTCCTTCTCTGGCTTTGCAAATCCTTTCCTTCTTCTCATCCTGTAGATTTCTATATCAGGGTTACCTGCTCTGAGTCTTTCCTGCCCACACTATCTAGAACCACCCCCCGCATCATTCTCTAACATCGCTGTCTTTGTTTCCTGCAGTTGCTCATCCCAGCACACCTGTAATATTTGGGCTTTGTTTACTTTTTATAATCTGTCTTCCCCAGTAACATTCCATGCGGATCAGGACTACATCTTACCCTTTTCACCAGGGAATCCCAACACCTCACACAGTGTCTGGCACCTAATTGTCACCCAATAAATATTTTTTGATGGAGTTAAGGCTTGACTGTGGTGGACAGCATTGCTTGGACCTTGGTCTGAGAATTGAGATAAATTTT